AAATGTTCCCAAACTTTTGACATTTTTTGTCGCTTTCGGGGTTCTCCTTCTGAGCATTCTCCGGTTCCCTCCATAGCTACAAACTTAGCACAAGCGCTCCAGGCGCTAACGGAAGTGGTAGCGTTGTGCAACACAAAAACCCTCCGGCTAGACCAGTGTGCTGCGTATTTAACAGCATTGCTTATTACAATACAATATATTTTGCGAAGCTTCGAGGCAGATAAATTTCCTCGAGGATTTTTTGTAATCCAGTTACTCGATGAATCGTTTCAGCCCTAGTTCCTCTGTTTTTAAAAATGGCGCGCCCCGGCAACAAATCGAGAAGGACGACCACACAGACAGCCGGAAAGGCATACCAAGGACCAATCACAGCTGCTTTTTGTCTGCGCACTTCTGCTTGAGGTCTGCGACCATCTGACCTGTAGTCAGGAGTTGCTGAACCTCTTGGGGGACACAGAGGCTATGCGTCAGAATCATACATTGGCCTTTAGTCCTCGACGCGGGCAACCCGGGTTCGAATCCGACCTGTGGTCCTTTCCCGCATGTCTCTCATACCCCTAATCCTGTCAGCCTGCACTCCATAAAAACAAGCCACTAGTGTCTTAAAAACTAAATTATACACTACAATATGTTTTTTTTTAAGTCATAAAGACGCAGATATAAGCTATGTTGGTAACAGTGCTAAAAGCTGTCATTACCTAGCAGCACCATAAAGCTTATAAAGATCCACAGGTCACTATATGATGACCTATCAACAATTCAACAAATTTGGATTTTTATTGCATCACCACCACTGGGGAGATCTTTATCAACTATGTATTTACAAGAAACTGGGACTTTGGGTGTAAAAATTAGAAACTTCACTACACTGTTCAACTAAGTGAAACATTACCCTAGCATTAAAAACTTAAAAAAAAAAAAAATCATTTTCTTTGTTTTGTTTTTGGGATTCTCATAATACCATCCCAATCGCAAGTTAAAATGTCATTTTTTCCATCGAAATTTAAACTTCTATTCTGTCAGGTTTCCTTGTTGGTTTTATTGAAAATAAAAATTTATTTCTATGACTGATATGTTGCTTCAAGTCCCAAAGAGACACAGGGAACATAAGTTAACTCTGAATTTTCTGCAGCAACTCATTTATTTTTGCTAAATATAAGAATAAAAAGAGAGAAAACTTTAGAGGCTTCTTTTTTTGTGGAGGGGGGTTTATTTTACATGCATCACCCTGTAAATTACTTTGAGAAAAGCTTTGTCGTTTTCCGTGTAGAGGACTAATTCATGACCAAGTTGTAACTTCCTGGATGATGCTTTGAGTTGTTATTTCAACATTTCCGCAAAAGGTTATTTTCTCACGGTATCTTTTTAATTCCTCCAACATAAACACAAAAAAAGCGCCCACACAACAGCAGCCTCCCACCCACATGCTCCCTACCAATGCATGTTATGATCACATCTTACTCCTAAAGCCTGACTTCAGCAAACTTCAGCATTTGACGAAAGTACAATCATTTCACCAATAGAAATTATTTCATTCGTACTGACCAAAAAAATATATATAGGGTAAACATCTGGTCTATCTATTTATCTATATGCATAAAACTGCTTGACTTTTGCCTTATAATAAAAACAAATGGCTGTCAAAACATTATATTTAACTGATTTCTGATTATCAAGCTCAGCCATTGATATGGATTTTAAGTTAGTTGTGCTTTTCAGTTACTTTTTACGCAAGTGACTGAAATACTGCAGGTCCACGCTTTCCCGCCTAAAAGATCCTGGTCTTCTTCAGTAGGACCTTCAGGTTACTGCGGGATTGCTGAAGCACAGGGTTACTAGTATAGCAAAGAGGATTGATTGACTCTTTGTTGCAGCATCTTCTGCTGACCTGCAACTTTTATTTACCTTAGACTTAGCCTCAACTTTATTTATCCCATTGGATTATTCCTTCAAGGAAATTCTGGGTCAAAAACTGAGTGTTTTTTTCCATCTGCTTTTCATGAGATTCATATTCAAGCAAACATTAATGTGACCGAGGATAGACCAAAAGGAGGACGACATTCTCCAGTTGTGAGCTCTCCGTCTGGTTTTGTGAACAGATAAGGTCTTCTCTGTCAGGCTTTTGTCGTTTGACCCCTTGGTTTCTTATTACTGTCACCCACTGGGCTGTAGTTGTTTTCTTCAACATCTTCCCCATGTGTCATTAGGCTGAGCAGTGAAACAGAAAGCACAGATGATATATCTGGCATGCCCTTTATTTACCCAGTTAGAAATACATCCCCGGACTTTAAGTGGAAAAGGGGCTATAGAAGCCTGATATAAACATTGAACATTTTAGAGGCACATAAAGAAATGAAAACTTTTAAACCACAGGTGCAACTTTCTGAAGAACTGATATGGACATCTCCCCACCAATAATTTCAATACATAGACTTTGGCTCTCAACGACAAATTTCTAAATTTGATTTTGCTGCCTTTGAAGGAAGATAATCACTGATGTAGCTGAAAGGGAAAATATCCATCAATCCATCCACATTTTTATGTATAGATTGATGGATGAATGAAACTGAAATTGTTTCCATATTAGGGAGGCATGATGTATGGCTGTTGGTAACAGAATCTGCTGTTATTCATCCTTCTATTTTTATATACATGAATGTCTAACTAACTATAAATATAAATATCAGTATATTTTTGTTCGTTTGTGTTCTCAACAATAGGAAAGCATTCAATAAATATATGTTAGAGTTCATTTTTGGAAAATACAAACCCTATTGATGGTGTGGTGATAATCTAGCTCTGTTTATGAAGAATTAGATATGTTATAGATGACTTACAGTGGTGTCAAAATTACACACATTTGTTATTGCAGTTTAAAAACACTGGTAAAAGTTGAAGTATCATCTTGACCTCTTTACTCAAGTAAAAGTGAAAAAGTATGAGCTCCAAAAACTACTTAAAGTATGAAAGTATAAAGTAACCTTTAAAAAAAAACAGCCAGATGCCACTATATGAACTGAAACCTACGACGGAGTATTAGGGCCACACATGAAGAGAAAAAATATTTTTGCCATGACGAGATTAAACTCGACATGTCGACTTTAAAAGTCGACATGTCGACATTAAACTCAACATTTCGAGAATAAAGTTGAAATGTCATGTTGAGTTTAATCTCGACGTGTCGACAATAAAGTTGAAATTAGTTCAAGAGAGCCAACCGCTGCACAGGATACATGCACAGAATCCAGAATCAGACATGTCTTGTGTAGATGATTTGGTCAAATTGTACTTTCTGTGATGATTATACAGTTATACAGTTGCAGCACGTCAAAGACTACCTTCACTCTTAAAACGCAGACTGCAGCTGTGGAGCGCGGTTGCTCTTTTCTCCAAACTTTGGAATGTCGAGATTAAAGTCGCCACGATATATCAACTTTATTCTCGAAATGGCGAGTTTAAAGTCGACAGGGCGAGTTTAAAGTCGACATGTCGAGTTTAATCTCGTCATGGCAAAAATATTTTTTCTCTTCATGTGTGGCCCTAATACTCCGTCGTAGAAACCTCAGTTTTTTGACTATTTCGAAAAATTCTTTGAGATGAGCGACGTCTTGTTGGTTTTCGATCTCCATCTCCCGATACTCTCGCCTGTGTCCGACTTATCAGACATTTCAACATCTTTTTCTTAATCCGACATTGTAGCATGGCATAGACAATTCACTTTAGCAGTTTGAAGAACACCTGCTTGCTTCTGATTATTTCCTTTAGCTAACCAACGAGTGTTTACATTATAGGACTAATCCAATTACACTAGTTTTCACTAGATGTGGATGGCGCCAATGATCTGCATTGGATGGCACACATGATGTAAAAAAAAAAAAATTATGAACATTAAATCGAAGCCCAGAGTAACCAGTAATGTTTGTTTTAAAAATGTTAGGAATAGAAAGTAAAGATACTTGTGTGAAAATGTAATGAGTAGAAGTCAGAAGTAGGAAGAAAAATAAGTATTGGAGGAAAGTATATATACCTAAAAAGTGAACTTAAGTACAGTAACAAAGTATTTTTACTTCGTTAAGTGATACCACTGGTCCCCACCAGCTTACATTACAAAGTTTGTTTGCTTTAAACTTTTTGGAGGGACTTTAAGAAAAATCCAGTGATGGGGGGTGATAATCTATCTCTGTTTATGAAGAATTAGATCTGAGTCCTGTTATTGATGACTTATGCAGAGTAACTTCGTTTCCCCCAACTTGCACAATATATGTTGGTAAAATGTCTGACTAAACAATTTCACAATAAAGATGAAGTTTTAAACCTACAGCTCACTGGCTTGGCTTCCAAGTCTGTTCCTATTCAAGTGGGAACAAAATTGAACACGACAATAAGATAATCTTTAAACCTCACAGCAGGAGAAAAATACAATCAAATAAAGTAGAGCGTGTTGGAACAAAGTGCAGTGGTGGGGTTGTGGCAGGAGAAAAGGAAGCAGCCTGGGGGCTGGGGGTGGGGACCACCGCCACTTCCGAATTCTTCAAGCCCCATGAATCCCAACTTCAAGGCGGGGAGGAGGAGGAGGGCTCCGGCTGGGAACGAGGTGTATCTAAAGTTGTCCTTTTCTGGGTGGGCTTTGGTTCTCATAGCCGCCCTCCGGTTATCAGAGAGCGAGACATTATCAACGTCATCATCATCATCATCATCTACTGGAACACGAACACATTTCAGAGTGCGCACGTGCCTACTTTCAGGAGTAACGTGAGCTCGTAAATTTCCAAACTAAGCCCGACCGTTAGAGTTAAACCCGACCGTTATAGGGTGAATAAAAAATAAAAGTAAGCCAAAAAAGGAATTCTGCTTATTCAGCGTCACGTAAGAAAAAAAAAAAAAAAAGGGGGGGGGGGGGGGAGACATCCGGGGAAAGGTTTGACACAAACACTCGCTCTCTAATTATCTTCTAAACCACTAAATATGGTTTAAACAAAGAAACAAAAAGCTTTACTTACCCCAGTACCACCAACTCCCCGTACTTCACCGGGTCTTTAGACGGGGCGCAGTGCTCCTCTTGGCTTGACGAAAACATGAGGCTTGGCTGCGTTAGCTACACATTAATAACAGTGTCCTAAAAATAAACATGTACTCTTCCAGAGAAAAGGAAATAAAAGCACCTAGTTTCCCCTTCACTACATGTTACATGTGTATCCGCATAAGAATATATCTATTTTCTATGAAACAAAATAACAGAAAATAGAGTGCTGTGTAACTTCCTCAGCTAACCACAGCACAGCGTAACTTACTTGGCGGTTGAGTCCGCTTTACAGCCGATACAAAAACAGCGAGGAGCAGGGCCGGACTGTACCATTCACTTCTTATCCACTTTCCAGAGGGGGGGGTCCCACCAGCTCGGATTTTTCCTACTGTGAGTTTACCCACATCTGGCTCCAACTTCTCATTTTAAGACATGATAATACTTTTCTACTTATATTTTATTATTTTTTTATTCTTTTGAAGATGAAGAGAACCAAAAAAGGAGTTTAGTTTTTCATTGTAACCACTATACAATATCCATAGGTGGAACCATCTGTTATGTAAACAAAGACTACAATCTGGGGATTCTTAAAGGGGCACGATGCATAAACAGATATATTTGTTATACCTTGTTAAACTATAAAAGGCAACTTCTGCCACTGTAATAAAAATAGCTATTTCTATCATGATTCACATTAGGTAAAAACTTTGTAAAAAATTAAATAACCTAATACCCTGAGATGACATTTATCATTAAATGGCAGTGCATAAATAAACTCAACTGAACTGCATAAGAAAGCATCACATCATTTTTAACTGAACTGTATATAATAAACGCATACTACATTATAATTATTATTTGGTACGTTATAAATAATGATACGGCTGCTTTTAGTGTAAGATACTATTATGAGATAGTAGTGAGAGAGTTTCTAAATAATTATGACTAACCTGTCACCTAATAATAAGAAAACCAAGTCATCACATTTCTGACTGTAGATGATATGTTAAGTGGTCATTTTTAGATAAAAATAAGATATGACACAATTATTAAATACCTAATGATGAATCTCCAGCTTTAGATCACAGAATTCTGAGATGGTGGTAATAAGATAGATAAAAAATACTATTAGACATTTGTGAGATACATTCTTATAATTAAAATAGAGGCTTACTATGGCTACTACAAATCATAAGATCATATATCATCATTAAGATCCCACCTCTGAACTTGAATTTAGGTAGAAAAAATTCTCATAATCATCACATATGAGACAGTACTTTATAATGATATAACTAAGTAAAAATTGTGAGACATTATCTCATAAGTGAGCTATCATAATGATAAAATCATATCTAAATTGTGAGTTACCTATTTCAATTGTGATGTACAAACTTTTTTTTTTTTCATCCAGTGGCATAAACAAGCTTTGATATTCAGAAAAATAACATGAATTCCTAATATTATTTCAGATATACAATACATTCAGTCTAGGTCTAAAATTTATCTAAATTTTTTTTTTTTTTATACACAAAGACATATATTTCCTGTCTTTTACAGTAACAATATTTTTTCAAATGTATATTTTAATAAGGACCCCAGATGGTCTAGCTAGGTATAAAGGTTAGTTGACGGGAATCTAAATAAGAAAAATGTCCCTAACCACTGGTCATGTTCAATATTATAAATATAAACATCATGTTGAGTGGACAGCAGTAGTGGGAAACACATGGTGGAAAATAATTCCGGTTTGTATTCTAGAGAAGTGAAAACATGTTGTTCCGCATTTTGTTTGTGATTCCTGTGAGCTCTTTAAAAGCTTTCTTTAATCAGGGCTTAATGGCAGTTTTGCAAAAACATGTGACCAACTGTGCAACCAAACACAGTCGCTTGGAACGGCATTCATGCCCATCAAACCTGTTCATAATTTCTCACAATACAAGCACAGGCCTAAACGTATCTGTAGATTTGGTTTGATAGAAAAGCGATAAATGGTGCATAATTGTAAATTGGATGGGAATTATCTGATTGATGAGTCATGGCTAACAGTGTCACAAAATTCTCTATTAAAAAAAAGGGGTAATTGTAAAAAAAATTCATATATATATCAAAAGAGCTAAGCAAACATATAATGAGACCAAATTAAACTTTAAATCAAAACAGTAGAAGGAACCTAAACCTGCATCAAGAGCTACACTGGATTCTTGTAGACCACAACATGTTTATATGATACACTGGCCCAGAGTTCAGAAGAAAAATGTGAATGTCTGTTTGGCAATATTTGAACATCTGTGGTCATAGAAGACTGACTGGTCTGGCTGACACTGAGCTATTTTGCACAGTTTTTACCCATGTGTAGTCTGATGCAGTGCCCAAGAGACCTACAGCTGGAGTTGCCTTGAAAGGAGTTTATTTTTTATTATGCAACATAAAAAGAAAAAAAAAACTGATATGGTTGAAGAGCTAAAATGTTATTAAGTGTTCTTACACCTCTACCAAGCTGCTCGTGTAGAAATTGTATTTTGTATCACTAACAAATGATTGGTTTGTTGGCTGCAATCCTACAGATCGGGTCTTTATTTCTCACTTGTAATACAATGGTTGTATTGTTTAAAAAGACAAATCATTCTAATAACATGTCAGCCTCACCCTTTGGATAGCAGATTATTCAGACACGGACATATTCATAATTTGCTGAAACTAAACTTGAAATGAGACAGGCCTCTCGTCTAGTTGCTCTCATGCCATTCTGGTAAAAGCACCACTTCTCCACCTTTATCTGGCAGTCTCATCAGCACATTAATGGCCCAGTCTTGTTTTCACACGAACTTCCATTGCTGAGGGTGCTGCCCCACTGCCCGGGGGCCCCTTCCCCCCCGCCTAGCTAATTATGGCTAACTGTTTGAACTAGTGTTCAGTTTCAGTAACGACGCAAAAGTAAAAAGGTAGTGAGGGGGTCAGTGGGGTCCATGAGGGTATATGCATTCTCATCCCTTCATGCCATTTTAAAGAGAACATTTGCAGAAATATAGTTTTTCTTGGCGCATACATACATCAGCTTCTTCAAAAACATTAAAACCCAGTTAGGCCTATAACTAAGGGGCTCAGGGCAACCCCCTATAGGATTGGGTATAATGAATGTTTACTGCTCTTTTGTGCCACTACCCTCTTTCTGCTGTGCTTTCATTCACTGGGTATTGTCTTTGCAACAGAGCACTGCAGGTTTTGTTTCTACCTCTGTTTGACTCGCATAAACACACAGAAGATTTGGGGGTGGGTGTGGATCAAAGGCTCCCCGGCACATACCACATTGATGGAGAACAGATGCAGGGAGTGGGCTGCTTTGCTGAAGCTGCTCTGGCGTAGTGAGAGTATAAATCTAAGTTTAGGAGGAGGAGTCCAATGTTACCAGGCAAGAAGCATGCAGAACTGAATTGCACAATAGACTGTGGGCAACAATGACAACAGACTGGTAAAGTCCCTGTTTATATCTGAGCTGCTCAAAGCGAGGCTTTACACAGAAATATTGGAGGAAGTGCAATCTGCAGGAGATTCATGTGACTATCCAACATTTTGGAGCATTTTTCATCATTAAAAAACAATGCCAAATGTCTTGTTGTGAAAACTGAGTGTTTTAGCATTTCCTATATCGCAAGGAAAATCACAGTTTGCAAACAGACTTTAAATTGGAAGTAGACTTGGATAGTAATCTTTGTCTCTAGCTAGTTGGAGGCGTTTCTCTTTAATGTAGATGCACGCTGTGCTGCAACGTTTTAATCAAATAAAAAAGCTAGATCTCCAATCAGCTGACTGTAGCATGACAGTGTGGGAGAATGTGAGGAATGTGCTGATACTGTGTTCCTCGTGCTCTTGACCCAACATCCCCCAGCCACTAAACACCCACCCTCTCCCCCAGTCAGCACAACAGTTTTGTTGTTTAAAAGGCCTTTTTAACATGCAAGAGAGCAACAGCTTACCAGCACAGATCAAGTCAACATCAATTCCTCACCTGGAATTTGTATTTGGTCTTTTAGTACGTCCATTTTCTTGTGGGAGTGGACTTTATCATATTCAAAATATCTATATGGATTTTTCTTTCTGCCTTTTTTCCCCTTTTGGTCTTTGGATTGAATTCTATATAAGGGCATCAGAGTTGGATCTTAACCTTAACAAAACAGCATCTGACCCATTTGACTTTGAAAATGTTGAAATTTGAAACAAATTAATAATATAAATGATAAACACAAACATAATGCTACATATCCTGAATTCTTAAGCTACTCCAAGTTCTCCAACCACATCATGGCCTGATTACTACAGACCTGTAGATTATACGTAAATTACTTTTATGCTGTCATATCTTACAATATGAGACGGAAAGAAAGATGTTAATCATTTATGTTTAGCAGTCTGAAATGGTTCATTGCATTTTCAGAGTGGCTGGCCAACAACAATTAGTCAATGACTCATCCATGAGGTCACAGAGCTCAAGATCCAACATCCTGAAGCCTCTTGACTATAAAGGTTATTGATCATATCACAATTCTGAAAGAGATGTGATTATTAACTTTTCTGTTTAACATTTACACTGATGATGGTGTCCAGTTACACCTGGCATAAAACAGTACTAAATATAATATATAAATAAAGATATAAAGAAAAATCCTTAAAGTAAAGACTAGTTGGTGTGATTGACTGAACTAGGATCTTTGTGACTTTTAATTTATGGCGACAGTTGTAAATAGAAATTCCCGATGGCAAATGTCTATGGCAAAAGCTTATGATGTGTTTGAGACATGCAGCAGACCTGCAAGTGAAGCTTAAAGAAACAAATTAAAAAGTTAAGTCAAATGAGGATGTTTAATAGCTTAGTCAAATCCTGGACCTAAAATCAAATGTATGGCACATAAACGTATGTAAAGACGATGAGGGAAGAAATCCTTGTTAAAGCCAAGGCTGTCAGAGCCATTTGTTATGGCTCTGCCAGGTGGCTGTCCATGGCTATGAAAACTATAAATGTTTATCTAACCTAAATGTTTTGTTTTTTTCCCCCTTCTTGAATCAACAAAAACCAACAGGAAATTAAATTCGAATTAAAGTTTGACAAAAATAAAAAGCAATGGGGATATGAATAGTTTTGCAAAGCTCTGCATATTGGAGCCTCTACAGCTTAATTATAATTATGAAGACGTAAATGACAATGTGTGAAGAAGTCAGTGGAATATAAAAAACAAATCCTCCTTTAAAGTGTCTGAATATACAGCAGTTTACCAAAACAGTAAACTTGTAAGATGCCAGCTTCTGATTATTGTTTTCAGAATGTCCTGTTTTCCACTTTGACCTAGAATTACCTCTGTGGATACAAAGCAGTTTTTAATCCACTTACAAGCAAAACGAATTAGAAGGGAACCTTTGGATTTTAATTGAGCTTTTTCATGTTTTCCAACCTAGAAAGCAAACTAAGGTGATGTGCTGCCACCTAGTGACCAAAGGAAAGATTGCGTTAGAAAAAGGAGAGCACATATTTATTAAGCATCCCTTTTATTAACATCACCCATTACAAAAAGAACAAAATCTTCAGTGTTAATGGACTCAGCCACAATATAGTAAGTGTTGATTACACACGATATGGGATGCTCATTTCTAAAGTGGTTGCAGTAGGATTAAAAATCTCTTAAGTGTGTCTGATCTTGTACCGCAGACTCCCTTCTCTGTGGAGCTGCAGTAAAGGCGGGACATGGAGAAACTCATCTCCATGGTTAAGAGTCACGTAGTGACCCATCTCACATGCTGAGAGCTCTACAGACTCCCTTCATTTCCCGAGAAGTTCTGAGCCAACATTTGCATGGAGCTATCACGATGGTTTCTCTGGTCAGTGAGCAAATCAACAGAACAGTGTATTTCAGCAGGTCCTAAGTGGTACATTTAAACAATACATATCTTTAAGTTAAAAGGAAAAGAAAGGAAAAACCCACGGTTTGTTTTGTTAAGGTTGGACATTTTAGCTCTGCCCTGTTGAGACAACAAAAACACTACTGAAGTTTTCAAGATATCACTGGAAATTATACAGGTGGATTTATAACAGAGGAATGGTTGCCACACAGTTTAAATAATGCCGGGACCATTTTTAAAGTTTAGAATAATAAAAAAAAAAAAAAAAAAAAAAAAAAGGAGAAAAATCAATCGGTGAAGCTGCAGAAGAGGAGGAATGTGGCTGGAGTGAAGTACTGGAGTTTTGGTACCGTGCCTGGAGTGTTAGGAATAAAACAGAGCCTCTGCCTGCTTCTGTGTAGACAGTATGGGAGGGGTCTACAAGCCCATTAGTCTGCGTGAGACAGAGGCCATCTACAGTACAGGTGAAGTTGACAGGGTTTGAGAGAGAGAAGGGAATAGGGGTATGATGCAGTGCGGTAGTGACAAGGCTGAAGTTTGCAGGTTTTCTCTGTATTGAAGTCAACTTTATTCTCTTTCATCCTCTCGTTATACCTTCTCTTGATCTTTGTCAGTCTCCTGAAAGAAAAATAAACCGATTCAGGCTGAGCATTCAAATAGTTGTTGAAAGCAGACCTTGGATGTCTCTTTCCTTTATTCTGATCTTTTATTTACAAATGCACCTTCCCCACCTGCCCATCTCATATATTGTGCTGATAGACGAGATCTCCCAAGACGGTTTCTTACAATGATTTTCTGCATAACCTCCATGTCTTTAAGAGGGTGTAAAGGAGTCGTTACTGTCATTTCTATCCCTGCTTAACACACCACAATCAAAAGACTAAATAAGCTCCTTTGCATCCAGTAACTTCCGCAGCATGAGCATATTCTTTGATTAAGGTTTACTGAAGGAGAAATGCATCTAAAAGCTGCTGGATACCAGTATGTCACATCTGGAGTCTGAGACCCTCGCCATCGTTACTCTATCATCGTTTCAATATTAACATGAAAATCTGCTAGCCATAGGTGATAACATCTTTTCCCTGGTTGACTGGGTCGAAGTGGAGGCTTGTTTGAACCAAAATCCAAAAGCAGAAACATTTGTCTACGAAAGAGACCCGACACAGTCCTGATCAAACTTTCCAAACTTGTTACTCTGAATGTTTGTTTGCCATCTACATCAGGTTTGATTGAATCTTCAAGGCTGCTTTTGTTTATTAAGTACAGGACATGTGTTTAAGCCTTTGTCAAACCCATTTGGGAATAAAAATGAATCTCCAGACATCCAGAAGTAAATAATCTGTCATTCAGGGATATCTTTATATAAAACTAGGTGGTTTATTTAATGTTTAGCATTGCGTTTTAAAGCTTCTTGACCACTTTTACATTCTGTAGGAAAGTTAACTTACCCCCTGTTGTCCCTTAGCCAGCTGCTGGCTGACTGTCTGAAGCAGCTGCTGCATTTCTCTCACTGTTTGATTCAGTCCTGCAGTCATTTTCTCCTTTTTCTCAATCTCCTCCTGTCAGACATACATGGGGTGCTTTAAAACAGATGTGGAACCACTGGATGTAACCATTGCCTGTAGCCTTATATAACCCTTACCCTCTGTGATGAGAGGCTGCTGTTCTCTATCAGGTCATCAGTGTTTTCCGTTAGTTTGGAGAGTTCACCCTGGATCAGATCAAGGGACTGCTGAGCCTGAATGAGCAACAACAAAAACAATTCTCCTTCTTATTAGCATCATATGATGGGGTTAGACCTGTATGAGGAAAGAAATTATATAAAAAAAGAGAAATGTTACCTTGTACAGGTCACCAGCTACTCTTTGCCTTTCATTCTCCTCTGCCTCCAACTTGGAGAGTGTCTCAGTTAGCTGGGTTTTTAACTGGAAAGAAAAACAGATGTTTACCTTGTTTTTTTGGATTATACAAGATAATCAAACACTAAAAGTCAGAAAGCAGGGACTCAGTGGCGCATCTAAATAGACTTGAATATCACTGAAAGGATTATTTCAGTTCAAAAAGGATTTATCGAACATACGGTGATACATTGCAAGAATTTTTGTTGTTTTCCGTTTAAGATCAAAGCTGATGAAAACTCCCAAATCAATGTTCTGGACACTTAAATATCGAATCCCATTGATGAAACATGTATTTATCTTTCAAGCAAACCATTCAGAGTACTGTATCAAAGTTTATTAATGAAAAGCTAGTTGGAAGAAGAAACTGGAAAAATTGTGGTAGAAACAATGTTAAGTTAATCCAGTTTGTGAAAAATTCCAGACTGCCACTGCAGTCGGTGCTTCAAACTGGACTTTTTGCTATTTTGTTTAAATTAAAATATGTGAAGCTAATCCTGATTTAAAGACACCTTAAAGGGGTCTTAGATGGTCAAAAATGACTGGACTTTTACCAAGTGGTTGGGACTCTTCTTTCCAGTATGAAGTTTGCATTTTATAGTGAACTTAAAAAATATTATGAAGCAAAAAGGCCAGTGATTCAAACAGCTGGTCCAGTAAAGGAGTCGGACATTCAGAGGGATTTGAGAAGCAAGGTTGTCTGCTGGGTTTGTCCTCCTATGAGTATAAAGTCCCAGTTAATGGTAGCCGTCTACCTGGCAAACTTGGATCACTTCATGCTTCCTTTTGCCGATAAGCTTTATGGAGATGCTAATTTCACTTTCCAGGAGGACTGCAAACCTGCCAACACTTCCAAAAGTCCCAAACCTCTTTTTATAACTGTGGTATTACTGTGCTTGGTTGGTTAGGAAGCTCACTTGTGCTAAAATACATACATGTGGAGTATTATCAAGAGGAAGAAGAAATAGCACAGGCAGTGATATAGGTGGTTATTAAAGCAACTTCAGCTGAGACACAATCCAACTACCTGCATGCAACACTGAACCAATACAGATAATCAAGCAGACACAGCCCAAACCAATCATTGATTGTATAATATCACTAAAAGTCTATATTTTCCAATTTAGACTGGTATATATAACATTCCAGTTGTTATCCATAATCATCCTAAATTTGTAGAAATATAAAACTGTGTGTAATAAATATATATATAGGTTGCAGGTCTTATCTGCTGAAATAAGAGATTGCTGTGATATTCTAAACTGGTGAAAAAACAAATAAATGCTGGTTTGCAAAATATCAAAAGGCAGTGCTTATTGCAGAACAGCATCATGTTTGTATGACTTTGTTAATTCAGGTACCAGAAGAATGACATGTCCCCATCTAAAAAGTCCAGCTTGAGGAACTTGCATAAAGTTTCACACACCTCAATATTACAAAAACATTTTCCCACAAGTCAGACAAGGTCCTGGTTTATGCAACTGTTTTCTTGGTGTTCAAAACTAAAACGTAATGATTGTTGTATAACTTTACAGTTTTAACTACAGTCATGTTCATTTGTTCCTTCTTTGGTTGCAGAAACTTTGCAACAGTATTTGCAACATTTTAACAAACATTTGTAAAATTCCAACAGTTGTCAGGAAGTCAGAGCTATTAAAGGACAGAACAAAGTCATTAGGGTCCAATCACAGATGTTTCATTTGACTATTATCACCATTTTAGCAACACAGGCTGAGATAAAACAGACATAGAAACCAAAGACTGAATACTGCAGACAATCCCTAGAAACAAAGATTAGTGTGAGAGCGAGATCAGTAGAATAGAGATGCAGAAAGAAGAAAAAGTTAGAATAACAGGAAGTAAAGGGAGGAGAATCACCCAGGATTTCTATAGTTTACAATGTTACAGTCTTCATACTTCTTAAACTTTATACTTTTTATATGATTATTTCAAACTTTAAATGCATTTCAAATGAGGCGTTTAGAAATCTACTCTATTCAAATGTAACAAATTAAAATGTTATATAAATTGTATCCCACAGCATGATGCTGCCATCGTAATGTTTCTCTGGGAGATTTCAATAGCTTGAAATGTTAAGAATAATATGATTATTTAATCATCTATCCCTGCGATACCTGCTTTTTTGGCCGCAATATTTATATTGAAAATAACTTGCACTGAGTATATAGATTATTAATTCTAAAAGATAATTAAAGATTATATACTAAAGCGATTTCTGAACTTTGTTACTTTTAATATAAAAAAAAAAATGGATGTCGTATGTTTCAGTAAGACCCAAACACATTTTCCTCTTATAGATTTATAATTAGGCTACAATCCATGTTGGTTTAGCCAATAAAATCCAAACAAAGTACAATGATCTTCACGGTTGTAACAGTGTTTTAAAGATGCAAGTAATGTTCTTAATGCAACATATGTTAGAAGTTCCAGAACATTTGGAAAATGACCCAGAGTTAGTCAGCAGACAGTGAAACCCGTCCCGTGGCAGCCAGTGCAGTAGGCTTTAAAGCAGCTCTAGCTAGAGGACCATCCATGCTTACCACAGCCAGCTCCTCATTCTGTCTGAAAGCCTCTGTGTATGAGCCATCAAGTCTGGTCTGCAATTCAGTCAACAGATCTTTGAGCTGCAATTAAGTTTGACATGTTGTTGTTTAATGGTGGTCTGTGGGAGATAACCCAGGACAGAAAAAACTCACACAGTCTGTGCAGGGAAACTGGATGACGGATCATTCCAGGTCTGTGTTTGGCCATAAGATGCATTTTTTCCCTCAGGTACAAATTTAACAATGACAGAGAAAGGGTTCCTGCTTACCTCTCTCACTTCTGTCACATAGGTGGCGCTCTCACGCTCTGCTTTCTCCAGCTCCGACTCCAAGTGCTGCTTTTCTCTTCTCAACTACAAAGCAGAGCACATAAAAGAACATCTAAAAATGATGCTACTCTGAAAATTCAGGTGTTTAAACAGAAGCAGTGGTATAATTGTGCTCTGGGTCAGATAAACAGTAAACAAGTCAAATCTGAAGGTGGATTGTTATTCGTTTTCAGCCAGACATGAACCAGTCTAATATCCCATTCTTAATCCACAAATCAGAGCAACCTTTGCAAAAGTCACAGCCTTCCAAAAGGTTTAGGATCTTGTTTATGGAAACGTTTCCACAGACCATTTGTAAGTCAGACACTGATGTTTGACACGATGGTCTGACTTATTTGTGCCTGCCTGTCATTTATACTTTGAAATCCCACTAAACACTTAGTGTGGAATATAGATGCAAAAATAAAAAAATAAAAAGAATGGCTTGACTTTTTCTCCTCCCATGACACGTTTTTTTTCCCATACGTTGTAGATTAGATCTCACACAAATGTGTAACCATTAACTAGTTTTTAAATACCACCGGAATAGCAACAGTGATGGATGCCTAAGAGTATAAAACTTCTTTTAGGAAGCTGAATTGTCTTTGTTAGGAATTAACAACCTAATCTGTGATGTAATCTGAACACACACCTCTCTAACGTCCTCCTGCGATTGTTCCAGCTTCACTTTCCAGCGAGACTCCTCCTCCTCAACGCTGCTTTGCAGGCGCTGCAGGATACCCTCCTGTGGACACAGATGGATTACGACCTCAGTTGGAAAAAAAGATCTCACTTATTTTAGTGCTGTGACCTAGACAATTATCTCACCGTCTCTGCCAAAACCTTCTTGTACGTCTCACAATCCTTCTGTAGAATCCTTTGGCTTTCCTCAGCTTCTTTCAGTTTCTCAGCCAGTTCCTGCAGGATGGACGATATTTATGTATACATCCAGAATACAAGGGACAGAAGGCAAACTTTTTTTTCTACTTTTAGCTTTACCTCGGACACTCTTGATGCTTGGCTAGATTGTCCAACCAAGCTTTCTGCTGCTGCGCTCTCAAATCTCTGTAACCACTCCTGATGGTTCTGTTGGACAGTTGAAGTGAAATTTCAAGTCTAGCATGTTTACAAAAAATATCAGGAACAAAATAGAAGCATTTGATCTTTTGAAACCTGTTCAGAAGGAAGAGGCACATGGGGAAGAAGTCTGTGCAGAAAATCTCGACACTCAGCTTGAGTTTCAGCCAGCGCAGCATGACCTTCCTATAAAGCAAGAAAAACAACAAAACAAGAGACAAAAGGATGGTTTAAAACTCTGATTTATTGCCTTCAGATTTTGCAGCGACAGTGTCCAGGGTTTATACACACTGATAAAAAGCTCTCCTTCTGAGGGTTCCTCCAACATGATGTCGGGAAAGCTTCAATTTGAATCAGATTGTGTTATATTATAAAACAAGTAAATGTATATTTATCCAAATTCGACCTCAGTTTGTGCAGACTAAATGATCGTCTTTTAACAAACCGAAAGATTTTGAGAGCAATTGAAATCTTATATGGAGGTAATCTACTTTAAGTCTGGGTTCAAAGGAAGAGTGATCAGAGGCAATGTAATAATCATCTAACATGACCAAATATTAACTGCAACATTTGAATAGTGTTGTTTCTGTTTATACATTTTGTGGTCGAGCAGCAAATATAACAATCAGCCTTTACAGCCATCATCATCTTGTTAACTATGGTAGCTGCCAAGGATACAGGCTTGTGATGCAGAACAATGTGTCAACACTGGTACTGTATGCATCCCTTCTTTCATTGGCAAGGTTATGGTAACTAGTTAGTTTAAATCCTAACCGTCTATTTACCAAACGATCAAAAATTAATTAAGTGAAATTCAGTTAATGAGCAGAACATATTAGGAGCTGCTAGAAAGTCCAAAAACTGCAAAGACAATCCTAACAAATGGATTTGTACAAGTGATGGCTGGCCTCCCCTGGAGAGAATGCTAACTGGGTATTGCAGCAGCACTCAGACCTGCTCTCTACTGAGAGAAAACAACTTTTACATGGTGGCATGGCTTTAAGAACGGCCCAAAAAGAGATTTTTATGATGGAGATCAAGGATAGACTGAAGTTCTGCATGAAGCACGGTCAGACTGCAGACACCATGGATAAAGCTCATGTTTATACTGAAGCCATGTTCACAGAAGGTACGTTCAATAAAACATTTTCTCCAAACTTTTCAGAAACATTTTTTGATGAACAATATATTTTTTTAGTACAATGGAGACACTAGATATTTCTAATAAACTTGTTGCA